ATAAGCATATTTCTTTCAATAAAGAGTGTTTTTTTTCAGGAAATGGTAATTTTTTTATACAAAAAGTTGCTATAATATTAAAATTGGTGGTGGATATGGTGGTGATGGTTTAACACACCCTAATTTCAAAAATATTTAATTCTCTAATTATAAATAAATATTTCTATATTTAATAAAATAAGTGAAACTAGTACACAGTATAAAAATATTTAAAAAAAATTTTTACAAGAATTTTATTTATTGGTGGTGTGTTTATTGACCCATCACCAACCCCCCACCCAATCTAAAAAAATAAATAAAGTAAATAAATCTTTATAATAACAATTATAATTGTTTTAAAATGAGTTTACAAAACCTGAATTAAACTTTTGGCACCAGGTATAACCTAGAAGCTAAAGTTGAAGACCACAACCAAGCTTACTTTTGAAAAAAAAAGTCTTTTCGCTGCTATTCTTAAATTTTGGTCAAGTTGAGAAGTTTGTTGAATAGGGTGATGAAGGTTACTTACACCCTAAAATAAAAAGATGTTGAATTCTTAAAAATAATTGTATCTTTAACAAACAAAATAAATTAGTATATTTCATTTTTTGTTATTTCATTAAATATGTTTTATTTCATTACCAAAAATATCAGTGTTGTATCCTATAAAAAAAATGTAACCATCAATTTTATATTTTTCTGTATTAAAACATTTTAGATACCCTAAGTTAGTTGTTTTATAGTTGTTTTGGCTTTTAGTAAATAATTAAAGTAGTTGTTTTGGCTTTTAGTAAATAATGAAAATAATCAATTTCATAAATGGAACACTATAATAATCATTTGTAACGATATTCACCACGTGAAGATAAGCCAGAGGCGCCTATCAAAATATTTTGCAAGTCATAACACTTGTGCAAAGTCAAGTGTTTTTATTCTTCTCTAAAAACATTTATGAAAAAAAGTAAAATAAAAACATATGGTTTAGTACCTGGCATACCTGACTTGATATGACTGTCTTTTCAAGTTTTATGAATTGTGGTACATTTATGCAAGTTTCATCACATGCGGTATCTGTTTTGCAAGTTTCATCACTTCTATTTTGAAAGTTTCATTACAAGTAATATTATCAAAATTTGTTACATATTACACTTTAAAAAAAGATCAACTCTCCTCGTCCAACATCAGCAGAAGCTGTAATTTTTTCATGTTGTAGTCAACAGCTTCAGTATCAGTATTATCTTTATTCCAGTAAGCAATTGAGTAAACTTTGTCTAGTTTTGTTTTTTCAAGTTTTTCTTCTCTACCATCATACATGACATACTTCGAATACTCACTATCGCACCATTCATGGTAGAGTTTTTGCCCAACAATTCTATCTGACATTACATCATCTTAGTCATGAAGTTGTTTGATAGACAATGTATATAAACTCTTTATTTCATTATAAGAGAGTTTATGCAACTGTCATTTTAACTTTATTTTGTTTTTTTCATCCATTTTTTAGCATTTGCATGCATGTTTTTTTGAAATATCTGCTTGTATATCATTATGCTTCATTTGATTTATCATCCTCTTTTTATGGGTTTTCAGAATAGACCACAAAACTAGATTTGCTCTAGATAATTGATCTATACTATATAGGTAATTAAAAGTTTGATTCTTTTTTTATCTTATTTTGTATGAAATATAACATTGTTGCATTAGGTGTTTGTTTTTTCTCACTAAACATTCCCATTTATGTACTCTCCCACTGCAATAAGACAAGCAGAAGTCATATTAATAAAGTGTTCATCAATCAAGCAAAAAATTTTAATTGAACCTAAAATATTTGGTTCAAGGTTATTTTAAAAAGTGAACCCGAATTTGATTTAGAATCTGCAATTTTTAGTGATACCCTGATTACACTATAATGGTAAAAATTTGCCTTTTCAACAGTCACATAAAACTTTGTCATCCAGGCTGGAAACTGGATCCTCAACTTTGTCTGACATTGCGTTTGATATATTTTAGATGATCCATGGGCGACTATCATTAAAAAAAGCTAAGTGAAAATCTGAATAAAAGCAAGATGATCAACTGCTTTACATATATGCAGGGAACTAAAAGAAAAGAAGAAATTAAAAAAAAGAAAATTAAACACTCAGTACTTCCAAAAAATTTTAATTTTAACTAATGAAATTTTATCGCTTATTTTGGTTATAAAATAATGAAAAACTTTTTTAAAAAAATATCTTGCAATTTTACTATTACCAAATAATTTACAGGGTAGCCACTCAAATTTGAAAATAAAACTCCATGACTTTTACATAATATTTTCATGACATTTCTATGACAATTTATTATTTTAATATTCCCATGATTCTTCATAAATTTTTATGATAAACCACAAGAGTACAATATTCATTACTTGCCATGCACCAAGTATTTGCCACCAAGTACTTGCCATACACCAAGTATTTGCCACCAAGTACTTGCCATACACCAAGTATTTGCCACCAAGTACTTGGCATACACCAAGTATTTGCCACCAAGTACTTGGCATGCACCAAGTATTTGCAACTTGGTCATTATAAAATATGCAATCCAAAAACTAATTGGTAGAATTTTCTGATGTCTGAAAAAAACTCTTTTTCTTTTACTTCTCTTATAACTTACACTGGAAAAAAAATCTTTTTCAAAAAGGACTTAGACTAGACATACTAGTACTTTTCTTTGCATCCTAAAAATATCAAAGTAGAAAAAAATAAAGATCATTTTAAAAAGTTTCATGAAGTTTCCATGACTTTCAATGAAAATTTAAGAATTCCATGACTTTTCATGACATGACATTTTCATGATTTCCATGATTTCCATGACCAGTGGCCACCCTGATATGATTTTCGTAATCATCAGCTGTACCTCCAGCTAATTGATCCAGAGCAATGACTTGGCATTTATTCTTTGATGTTAAGCGAATGCTATTAATATGTACACCTTCTTTGATTGTTGCATCAAATCCAAGAGTAATATTTGAATTAATGGTAGCCCATTCTGATACTTGCAGTTCTGCAAGTATCAGAATTATCACTTGGGTTTGTAATGAATAAATCTTATCCTTTACTGAGCCATTCACAACAGTAATGTTATCCTCCTCCATCTAGATTATATCATTTTCGTAACTAGCTATCTGCATTTTATTTGCCTTGATATCTTTATTATGCACAACTTTAACTTATTTTAGTCTTTAAAGTTCTTAAATTTTCATTGCCTTTTTTTTAAGCTTTAAGATTGCGTGTTATCTTACTGTAATATGTTTGAAACTTTTGTTTAAGGTTTCTAATTTCAGCTCTCAAAACTTTAATAATTTTTTTCTTTCATGTAATGCTTTGTCTCAGCACTTTCAACTTGTATGGCATGCTTTTCAATTTTGCCCTCACTATTGCTAATTTTTTTCAATGCATGCTGGATGTGAAAGCAAGCTGAGAAGTTAAATAAGACAATCTGGTATTCAAACCTTTTTTTTAGGGCTCATTTCTCCTCTTGATTTATGCCAATTCTGCACATTGTTAATAGAATGTTTAGAAAATAAAGGCTTGTTATTTAGTTGTAAAGAAGTCCTGTATAACTACCGAATAATAATATAGCATTAACTTATAAACAATATTATACTTATATTATTGAAAATATATTTAATAATAGTGTATTATTGCAAATTTAAAAAACAATATTTATACAGACACACACAAATGTATACTGGCAACATAAAACATGTGATAATATAAAAAAAGTTCAAAAGATACATTGCAAATGTTTACATAAAATAGAAAAATTATTTTTTAAATACCATGCATACCTATAGCTAGAATTATAGTAATCAACTCTTATGTTTTCAATTTCAATGAAACCAATAAAATTTTGGAAACTATAAACAAGTCACACTAATTTTCACTTTTAAAATAAAATAAACTAGTGAAAATATACAAACTAATATTAACTAACATAAAAAATCTAATAAATTATATATATATATATATATATACATATTATATATATAAATTATATATAATATATATAATTTATATATATAAATTTATATAGTTTTTTGAACATAAATTATTATGTTCAAAAAACCTGGCACAGAGTTTTAGCATAAAATTCGGTTCTGTAAAACGCGGATTTCTGCGCACCTAACTGATCATGCAAAATTTTATTATTTTACATGTTCTAAAATTTTGATGGTTAATGTAGAAACAGAATGTTTATCTTTTCACCAAAATTTTTTTATAAACTTAAGTTAATATATTTAAAGAAATTTATTTTTTACAACTAACAACCAAAAAAAAAAATCAATAAAAATATAGATATTAAACAACATTTTCTATTTCTAGATGTAGTTATGTCTTTTTCCCTGCCCACTCTAACTCCTCCCACTTAACTTTTGGTAAAAGTAATCTCTTTCCTTTTGATAAAATGAGGGGAAATCTTTTCCCCTATTCTGGGCCCACACCCTCAGTACATTAAAGGATGAGGGTCTTTCTTATTATCTCAATAGCGTACAAATGCTTCATAAGATAAATGTTAAAATAACAAGTGCTGCAGATCAAATTTTTAAGAAATGTTGCTGTAATGCAATTTTCAAGTGAAAGTAAAACTAAAAAGCTTGATATATGTTTTAATGTTTTTAACATTACAAAATTTGAAGAAAGTTAGATATTTGTGTAAGTTAGATGTTTGCATACACTTTCATTGATTTTTCTTATATAAAAAAGTGCTGCAACTCTTTCTCGCTATTACCTTGGTTGCAATGACTGCCAAGAGTATCGTGTCAAACACTCTCCAATGAGCATTGACATGTTCGCTATTATATAATATGAAAATAGTATTTTTCTAATTTTTTTTTTTTGAGAGCTGGAGTTGGGTTAGAGAATCCTGGCTTTTATTGACTCAAGCATAATTAAAAACACTAATTATTCTAATCTTTTATTTTAAACTATGCTAATTTATACCATGCTTTAACTATATATTAACAATATTTTTGTTAGAAAGTTTATATAAAGTCTAAAAATTCTCATGATTTACGAGTTGTTGAAGCATGTGTTGGGATGTTAATGAATCTTTCTGCTTCTTCCGTGTCATTCTCAGAGGTAAAAAGTTCTAATATTTAAATTTAAGGTTAAAAATGAGCAGAAAAGTGTTACAAAATGTTATATTTTGTTACAATTTGTTATACTTTGTTATAGTTACACTGTGTTTTTTTATGACCAAAAACTTTAGTATCTAATATTTTTTTTTAAAAGGATGTTGTTTTTCAAGTCTCTGAAATATTACCAGACCTTTTGGTTTGCAAATCAGAGAAAGTTGTTGAGGTTTATTATTTATGATTTTTTTTTTTTTATTAATTTATTACTTAAAAAGTTTAAATCTTTCTTGTTAGTATTTTAATGTAATGACTTTAATGTTGAATGTTATTTGTTTATTGTTAATTTTTTATAGCGCATTTCTGGAACTTTAAGTCACGTGCTCGACAAAAACAACCTGTTAATTGAAAACATTATCAATAAGAATATATATAAAATATTTCTTCAGTTAATAAAGGTTTTTTTATAGTTCTTTTTTTTATTTTGTTTAAAAATCAGTTTAGTAATGTTTTAATAATTTAATTATTAAAGTTTCATTGTCTTATTGCAGATTCCTGTAATTTTTGAACATTTTTGTGATGCCTCATCATAGATTTGATCACAGATTCTTGAGAATGATCATCTCTGTTATTCTGTTATGATAACTTTGTTATCATAAGTTGACCATTGACCATGAGACATAACATAAATTGACTATATATAATGACTAAAAAATTATTAAATTTAGTTTATATAAAATAAGTACAAAAGCAAACACAATATACTATAGGTGTTAGTAACTTTGGTCCTAATTTTATATAACTATATTAAATTTTTAAATAAGTTATAATCTTATTTTTTTTTTATCTTAGTATATAACAGACAAAAAATAAAGCGAGAAGTGTTACAGAATATAGATTTTTAAGAGAGTTTAAAATATCAAAGAGCATAAAAGTGTAGAAGTGTTAGGGAAAATAGAATTGCTAAATAGTTCAAAAGTTTTTAGAACTGTTATGAAATATAGAAATGCTTGATAGTTTAAAAGTGTTAAGTAGTGTCGAAGTTGCTGGTAAGTAAAGTTGTTTTAAGTTTTTTCCAATTTGGGAGTAGTATTTTGTGTAAAATTTAAAAGATGTAAAGATTTGAAATGTTGAAGAAATAATCATCACAAGCAGTTATTTTTTTAATTGAATAATTACAAATTATGATTAAAATAGAATATTAAAGGTTAAAATTAAATGATTGGTTAAACCTAATTTTCATGAAAATTATCATTTGATAATTTCTTTATCAATATTATAAATTTGTTTAATAATATGATTATTTCATTGCTTTCTTTTTTTTAGGGTTCAAATACAGATGTTCAAAAACATTTAATTAAATGTCTGGTCATACTTACTAATCAAAATGACAGTGTTGTACAGAATATATACTCGGAAAAAGGTTTTTGTGTGTTTGTATATATATATATATATATATATATATATATATATATATATATATATATATATATATATATATATATATATATATATATATATATATATATATATAATTTTTTTGTAAATGTACTCACCTAAATCAGCAGTATAAGATAGATATGTATGCAGCACTCCCTTGTAAGCTTGTAAGTCCACTCTAAGATAGTTGATGTAACAACACTCAGCGTATGTTACAGTAAAAAAATATTCATTTTTAAAAAATAAAATAAAAACATTCAGAATGTTTTTAAAAACATTCTAGTCTTTTAATTGCCTTTTTGTGATT